CAAACAGGACTAACGGATCCACTCACGCTGCTCTCGCTCCTGAAGAACTGATTCCACTCATCGAGTCTGATGTAGTCGACGGTCTCACAATCCTCCTGAGCCCATTCAACAGCACCGTATGCAGGACTTGCTCCTGATAACCAGTCACATCAAACTAGGGGATGCACGATATTATCGGAACGTTATCGGTCGATAAATGCTTAAAATGTAAACATCGGTATAAAAAAAAAAGCCGATATGCCTTGCCCATAAGACGGAGAGCTCGCATGTGCTCGGGTGTGATAGTGATGAGATCACGTCAGCAGCACCGTCATTATTGAAGCAAACTTTTGCCTGAGTGATGATTAGATTCACTGTTTTGGAGAGAGAGTCAACAGTTTCTAGCGTGTCCGGAAAGGCATTTATTTACTGAAGGGGCGCTGATGGCCTACTTGTAATAAAATGAAAGTAAAATACACAAATAACATTAAGATACTTGTGTTTCTGAATAAATAAAGCAGTATCGATGTAATAAAATTACACGTCTATTTTTACTTAAACGTCAGAAGCTATAGCTTACATGAAAAATCACAAACATGACACTTGTAAATAAAATATTTGATATATACCGATTTATTCAGTAATATTTAATATATTTTTTCAAATGGATTATGAAAATGTAAATATAAGGAGCTCTAAAAGATATATATATTTTTTTTTTACAGCTCTTTTGCTTTAGAATCTCTATTAATGTTAAACCCACAAATAAAATGTTAAGGTTTCAACTGCATCTGTCTGAGGGGAAGAAAAAAAAACACAGCAGAGATTGATTTTATTAGTTATTTTCAACGCTTTCAATGTACTCTTATTAAAAAAAGAACTTTAATAAAAGTGTATTACTTCTAACAAATACGTTTTTGCTCAAAACTAACCAAAATTAAAAATAAAATTCCACACAGGGGAGACCTGGTGTTGTTTCAAAACAAAGGTAAATATATATATATATATATCTCGGTATCGGCCAAAATTATTGTGCATCCCTAGATCAAACTCATTCTTAATGTGGCCTTCTTGATGTCCGGCTGGCTTACAAATGATCATGAATAAATGAGTATCACTAAATAAATGATAACTTCTTTAAGTGCCATATCAGTGGAAAGGTTGTTTCACATGCTGTCGATATGTTGGTCTTAGCCTGCGCTTACCGCCGCGATCAATAATCCTCCTGCAAATATCACCTTGAAAGTGAGGACTGGAAGAGCAGCAAGTATCATCAAGACCAGGAGGATCAAACTCGGTCGAACCCTAATGTCAAGCATATGTTCACTATTACGGGAAGACAACTAGAGAGAGTGAACAGACAGACAATGACCACAAAACAACATCTGTGCAACAGTTAAACAGCTGATTAAGAAATCTGATGTAGATCATGAAGCAGAAGCCAGAAAGAGGGAACAACACAAATCAGCCTTGATTCTAGATGAATCCCTCTGGTCCATCCAGCACTGGACTCGGGTCTGTTTCTGAGATTCAGCACAAGTACAGATGTGTTTTATGTTGAGAAAATCACAGGAAACATGTGGGTCTAATCTAATTTTCCAAGCATTAAGAACTGATGCAGTATTGAAAGGAGCAGCAGCAGAGTTCAGTGTGTAACTGTGTTTCAGGAGTCGTTCGATTCAGCTGGCCTGACTAATATATTCTCACTGGAAGTCTAAGATAAGATCAGGATCAGGTTCAGACTGAAGCTCACGTCCATGATTCTACACAACCAACCTTCCCTCCCAAAAACTACCAATCTAGATCAAGGGGAGTCCAACCAAACCAATGCATTTATCTATTTTCCTAAAGAGCTGAAGGCCAGAAGTTTGAAACATTATGAATCTATCCATTCACGGTTTCTCTGTGACAGCAATCACCTTCAGTAAAAACTGGCTGTATCTCAGATCAGATGGTCTGATTGATGAATTCATGAAGATCTGCAGTGAATGAGGCTTTGAAGTCTCAGACTGAGCAAAGAAGAATCAATGAATCTATTGCTGCTGATGGGAATATTAACACACAGAAGGCCAGTGTAATTAACCACTGTAATTAAAGACAAGCATTAACAGTAGCTTGGGGCGAAAACACCCACCAAATTAGAGGGAAAACACCCCTGTATGAATGTTTTTAATATTCATAACATATCACATGAGAAAGAGTGCTGTTTTTACAGAATATCAGCACAACTGCAAATGTGATATTGATTTTACACAAGTTAATATTAATTGACTTGCATCTTAAGACACAGTATTGTCTGTTTTTGCGGCTTGCCATAAGTCATTTTTAAAGCCACAGCAGAAGTGTCTCAGAGCAACATAATGATTCTTTACTGAATGAAATAAACCGGTCTGCTGACAGCGATATGAAACCTCAGCCGTGGCGGTCAGAAGATCTCTGCTCACATCACTCAGACCCGCTGCTCTGAAACCAAATCAGATTTGAATAAAGCCATAGAAATCTGCTCAGGGTTCAGTGCAAATGAAATAAATCCTCCGTTTGGTGACACGGCTGAGCATTAGCATTCAGCGCTGGTTCAGGAGGAGATTTAGAAGATCAGTTCAAGTCGACTCAAGGCATGCACAGTATGATGCACGGGAACAGACACATTTAGGACATTATTAATAGCATCATGAGTTTGTCTGGCTGTGGCAGGAGCTCAGCTGTCCTATGAGTGAATATCCAGTCTAATGACACGACACTGAGTTTTAATTCAGCAAGTGTCACGCTCTAGTGACAAACGTCTGCACACACTCCGTGTGATTCATGAGCTCCAGAAACTACAGGCTTCTGCTCACACACTTACTGCACACAAATATACAGCACCTACGTATGAATATCTTCACAAAATATCCTTTAATATTGCATTAATATTACTTTTACATTATATACACATTCTAAATTCCTTTTAGTAACAGGTAACTTGAAGCATCAGTTTAACATGCAATAGTGCACACGCTTGTTGATCACGGCTCTGTGTCATGCACGCGCACACACACACATTCACACAGACACACACGCGCGCACAGACGCACCCGCGCGCACACACTCATTCACACACTCGCACACACACACACACAGACACACACTCATTCACGTGCACACACGCACACGCGCACACTCGCACACACACGCGCACACACTCATTCACACAGACACACACTCACACAAACTCATTCACTCACACAAACTCATTCCCACACACACACACACACACACACACTCATTCACACACACACTCATTCACACACACACACACACACACACACACACACTCTCACACTCACACACACACTCTCACACTCACACACACTCACACACACACTCACTCTCACACTCACACACACACTCACTCACTCACACA